AGCCCCCGCGCAGCCGCCCCCCGAGGGACACCCCCGCCTCACACGGGCACCGCCGCCTCCCCGGCCTGGCAGGGAGCCCGGACAGAGCGCTCGCCCCAGTGCAGCCCCTCACCGAGGACACGTGGCGGGAGGGAGGAAGGCCGGGGATGGGGGTCCCTCTCTCCAAAACATCGCCTCTCGATGGTGCTTTATTTACCACCCCTTGTCCCAAAGCAGCCCACACCCCTTCCCTCTCTCTCAGCATCTCCAATTTATTTTGGCTCATTAAATTTAATTAAGAACAGAGTAGGTGTTCCATATTTAATCAAAAAAAAAAAATGCAGGGGCATAATAACCTCCAAGAGGACTAAAATAAAAAATCGCTATTCAGATGTGGGCAGCCACAGTGCAATTTTTTATTACTCTTTTTTTTTTTTTTTTTTGCAGTGGCTTTTTAAGAGCATCTAAGCACACACACATAAAAAGCTAGAAGGCATGCATTCCGGAGTTATTCCTATGCATATCCCTGCAATAATTTTCCGCTTTCCTTCGATAAAATTGCCAAATAATAATGAATCATTTCATAAATAATGGGTTTAGAAGCTTATCAGGGCAGGCGGGCCACTGCTGGGGTTTTATCTCTCTCGGCCACATTGCAGTAGTGTTCCGCTCTCCATACTAAATAGGAAACTGGACGTGATGTGGAATTAGAGCCTACCCAGCTGAAGCCACCCAACACTTACTACAAATATAGCCGTGATGCGTAGGCCACAAAATGGCTCCACTCACTTTTCCCAATGAAAAGCAAATGGTGAGTAGAGAGGAATCCGGCCCTGCGACAGGCTGGGGGTGCGGGGGGTGGGCGTTTTCGGGGATTTTGCGGGGCAGAGAGGGGTGCCTGGGGGGGTCTTCTGCACCATGTAATATATAGGTTGGGGGGGAATCCAAAGTCTTCTCTGTGGTTGCTTTTTTTTTTTTGTTTGCCTTTTTTTCCCCTTTCTTTCCTTTTTGATGGGGGTAGGTGAGGAGAAAAATATGCCTTTGCCATTTGGAAATAGGGGGGTGGGTTACCCCCGGGGTTGGAGCGAGGAGGGCCCGGTCCGGCCCGGCTGGCCCCAGCCCTTCCCGGGGGGCTCGGCCGGGCCTGTTTACCTTTGCCCAGCGCGGCCTCCCTCCTTATACCGCTCTCTTCCACCCCTTTGGTTTGGGGCGATTTTCCTACAAAGGCACAAAGTGAGAGGTGCATTTCTGGAGTGGAAATTTCCTGCCGATCCGCGGTGGGAAAACAAAAGGAGTTTGCGGAGCAGAAACAAGCGGGGCGGTGAATTAATGCTCCCCATTTTCTCCATGCAATTAACCCCAAACGGAGCCAAAAAAACCCGCGATTTTTTGTCCTTTTTTTTTTTTTTGTTTTCGTTATGAAACACAACGAAAGCGGGAGGCAACGCCATCGGGATTATTTCGTTTTTGCCCGAAGGGGAAAAAACATCCCCTTCGTGATTTCGTTTGGCGGAGGGAGGCTGCATTCGCCTTCCTGTTGATCGGCTAAAAAGAAAAGGGCCGGGGCTGAGCGACGGGCGCAGCGAAAACGCCGCGGAGCGCTGGCGTTAATCGGCATCGCCCCCCGTTAGCCC